GGTAGCAAGCCTGACTCCAAAACATCGATATATTTCTAGTGATTCATGTTTTCATCAACCACAATCAATTCGCCCACGCCATGGATGCTGATGCAGCCCACACCATGATGAATATGCTGCTCCGGGTTCGAAAATTCAGTACATGTGGTTCAAATGCTTTACCAGCAGTTCGCCAGCATCGTACCCGTCTGTCATCAGAGGTCAGACCAAAGCGACACTCATCAGAAAAAAATATATAGGACCAATTGTCATGGACTGTCCAGTTCCAGATCCTGTTGACCCTAGTTCACTCTACGTTGCCTGTTTTGTAACGATATAAGAGGTTTCAATCTTGCTACCCTGCTGTACACTCTATGAGCATGTAACCGACGCCTAGCAATTTTCACAGACACATTCTTATGTGTGAAATTTTTCCACTGTGTTGTCAACTGACAAGCAGTGTCGAACCTTGACAACCTGGACATCAAAATCAGTCGTCGGTCTTCACGGCCAGTAGTTTTTCTTGGACGACCCATCAGAGGCAATTTGTCTCTTGATCCAGTGTTTTTATAGCGAGACCAGAGCCTCTGCACGGTTCTGACTAAACAATTCAATTGTATCGATATACTCACATTGTTTATATTCCGCCTCTTCAGGTTACTAACTTGTACTTATAACCGTTAGATAATTGCCTCTATCTTGCCATATTGGAGGAAGACAGGAATAACATTTGCTGTACATGTACAAGACCAACAATACAATCCCATGGTACAGCGGTTTTATACTCATTAGTCACATTATAGGTAGACCAGGCATTATAATTACCCAAGATCTGCCTACTTTTATTACTCTGAGTTAGGGGGTGACACTTCTTTTGTCCAGTGTGTGTATCTAGCTAGAGACATATCTGTGAACATCCGTAAAAATCTATCAGTCGCCCTGGTAGAGGGTAGATCTGCCCCGCGTCACATGTACTAACCCCAACTAACTCCGACTAACCCAAATCTGTACTTATCATATGGTATCCCGGACTAACATTCCTACGACTACCATTCCTGTTACACCGGCTTAATTTGCAAATAAATAAACGTCAGTCACAATCGTAATTTTGTCCATGACTTTGAGAATTTGACTATACCCTTGAAAGGGGTCATGTCGATACTCCCCCGCACCGATGCTCCCCCTCACCGATAATCCCCCTTAGTAATTTTTTGTATTTTGCGCATCGATACGACCCCACACCGATAGATCCCCGCAATGGTACATCCCCGCACCGACACTCCCCCGCACCGATACTCCCCCTCAGTATATCTGTAATTGTGGGGGGAGTATTGGTGCGGGGACGCACATGTATAGGCATGTAACCAAATAAGGGTCACACCTCTCTCCACATGAGAAGGGTATTTTCGAAGTAGATATGATTATAGCGGTGACTTAGAATTAACGTAATGTTTATTTACATTCGGCTATCGATATGAAAAGATTTACATCAAATAAGACAGTGTGAAGACTTTTCACAATTCTGATTTTTTACGGGTATTACATATAGGTGCCATTTGCGATGTTTATAGAAAAATACTCAAAGTTTACTCCATTTTTTAACTTTTCTTGTTTTATTTTAAAATTAGAAATATGTGGTGCAGGGAAGGAAATAGAGATCTTTGAGTTTTATTTTCACTAAATGCGATGTAGAAAATGTTATCCCCTTCTCAAAATAAGCTAAATAAACAAATGCTTTCAACTTGACATATGTTGACTTTATTTACAACCGAAATACAGGTCTATTATTCGCATTTAAAGAGTAAGAGAAGATTTATTGTTTTATGAAAAGGTAATTCTGACACAAGTCAAGGCGGTATTCAGTTCGAGCGTAATTTATTTGTGCATCAAGAACGTAATTAAGAAGCACGTTATTTGATGCTTATCAAT